TTGGTTGAGGTGATTTTTTTCGTCTTGTCATTTTGTCCAGAGGAGAATAGATGAATGAGAGAACAAAATGCTAACAGGGTAACAATGTCCCTAAAAAATATACTCTAAACAAATCAGAAAAGACCTGAAACCAGGGGAAAAGAAAGGGAAAGAAAGAAAAAAGAAAGAAAAAGAACAAGATAAAAACAAATAAAAACAAAACAAAACAAAAAAAAAACAGAATATGATCAAATATGATCAGGCTGGTGCACAGATCAGTGCCACACACTAGATTTTGGGTGTATTTGGTCTGATAGAAGAAAGTGCCTCCCAAAATTTTAAAGAAAGAAAGACTTATATATGTACAAAATAAGAATTGATATGATGAAGGGATGGAATATGATTGTAAAGATGAAAATTATAAAAAATTTTATAAAAGGAATTGATAAGAAGTTGTTTGAAAAAAGAAAGAAGGGGACTTAAAAAAAAAAGAAAGAAAGAAAAAAAAAGGGGGAAAGAATGTGATCAGGCAGGAGACTAGAACAAAACCATACACTAGAGATTTACGGTATATTTTGATCTGTTAAAAGAAACTGTATCTCAAAATTTTAAAGAGAGAACAACTTATATATATATGCCAAAAATAAGGGTAACTATTATGAAGGGATAGAATATCAGTCTAAAAATGAAAAATAAAAATGTTGTTTTAAAAAAGGGATTGATAAGATGTTGGTTGAAAAAGGGAAAAAGAAAAATTAAAAAAAAAGTTAAAAAAATTAACTTTGAAAAACTAAAGTATCATGGTAAAAAAGCCATGAATTCTATGTGCAGTATTCCCCTAGCATTGGTGTTCTGCTGTTCTCATTGATCGGTAAACTTGATCTTGGCTGGCGGTTGTGCTGATCTTCTCGGGGAGGGGCCTGTTGCCGTGGTTTCCGAATGTCTTTGCCGGAGGCGGAATTGCCCTGCCCTTGCCAGTCTGGGCTAAGCAAGCTGCTCGGGTTTGCTCTCGGGAGCTTTGGTTCCCTGTAAGCTTTCCGTTCAGCTTTGGAGGACGAGGGTGAAAATGGCGGCCTCCCAATCTCTGCCCGGGATGAGCCGAGAACTCGGGGCCCCGCTCCTCAGTGCACCCCCAGAGAAAAGCAGTCAATCACTCCCGTCTCCCTGGTCTCCGGCTGCACTCCGTGCTCACCCAGCCTGTGACCGAGCATTTGTATCTCTGGCACCCGACCCCGTGTGGAGTCTCCAAACCCAGCAGATCCCTGCAGTGTGCTCCCGCGCCCCTCCTCCCGGGGGAGGAAGGGGTGTCTCCCCAGATCTGCCGCTTGTTGGGTCCCTTCTAGAGGAGCAGTGGCCCGACTGTGCCGTGGATCATGGTTTATGGCAACCCCGAGCTGAGAGCCCGCGCCTCGGCTCCATCTCTGCAGCCGGCTTCCCCGCTCCGATCCCTGGGAGCTCTGCCGTACTCAGGCACCCCTGGTCTTTCTGTGACCCCGAGGGTCCTGAGACCCACCCCCTGCTTAGCCACTGGAGCGATGTCCCTCAGCGGAGCCGGCTTCTAAAAGTTCCGATTTTGTGCTCCGTGGCTCTAGCACGTGCCAGAAGCGGCTGACCGAGGCCCCCTCCTCCGCCGTCTATCCTCCCGAATATCACCTCGGATTCACTTCTCTGCACATCCTACCTTCCAGAAAGTGGTCGCTTTTCTGTTCAGAGAGTTGTTGCTATTCTTCTCTTTGATCTCCTGTTGAGTTCGTAGGTGTTCAGAATGGTTTGATCCCTATCCAGCTGAGTTCCTGAGACCAGACGAAATCCAGGTCTCCTACGACTCCGCCATCTTGCTCCGCCCCCTCCAGGTTGCTTTCTGAAAATGCTCATGTAACCCTTTGTATCTCCATGTAGCTCTGATTCTGCATTGGCCTGCATTCAAAGAAGCCCTCTCCAAACAGGCAAAGGTACTACGCAAAATCTTTAACTTGTATCTTTGGCAAATCCTGTTTGAATCACCCACTGACATTTCATATCCCCTTCTGCAACCTTACATTTCTCAATACCCCCTTCATCCATTACAAAACAACCAAGCAACCACAACAAAACAATTGATTTAGCTTCTTGCATTAAGTCTTTCCCTTGGTCCTCTGTATCTCTAGCCTGTTCTCCGTCACTTTCTAGTTCAGTATCACCAAAGGAAACATCTAACAACAAGAGAAAGACCCTCATCGGAGAGTCACAAGGAAGCCCCAAGGCCAATGATGATGAACACTGCAGGGAGAATTGAAGGACATCTTATGTGTATTGAAACATCTGGCTGTGCTTTGGGGAAATTTTTGAGCCAGGTGAATCCCTTAGGATTCAAGCCAGTGGAGGGGGTGCATCTGGCATGTGACTTTTGAGAATTCCTGCATCCAGGAATTAACTCCAGGTCACACTGGGATACTGAAGAGAAACTGACACCAGGATCCTGAGTTGTGATCATCTGCCTATTATTTAGGGGTTTCTTTTCCTTTAATACCTCTTCCTTTTAGGTAGCTGCGGACATCATTCAGGCCAGCATTAAGTTAGTGACAGACTCAACTGAACAACGAAGCTTTCCCCATACTTCTATATCGGGCTGGAGTCAGAAGAGCTAAGGGAGCTCACCAAATGCTTCACTATCCTTTGTGGGCATCTCTCAACATCAGAAGACACTGTAGGCTACTGGAAACAGTGCAGATCTATACTTAACGTTCTCTTTTTCTCCTCTTCCCTTGCCCTGCACCCATCTGTAAATTACTACTCTCAACTTTTCCCTTTCTCTTTTTTACAAATGATACCGTGTATGCCAACGGTGATTAGTCCCTGCCCCTACCAACCCCCCTTGATGCCACAACATCTCAGATTTGCCTCTTGGGGACAAACGGTGATCATGTGACTCCTCTTGGTTGGGTCTGATGGATGGTTTTGATACAGGTGAGCAATGATGAAGATACACAGTACAGGTTAAAACCACACAGAGGACTCACTCCATACTTGTTCCCACCCTGGAAACAGAAAGCCCTTTCCTCCCTCCCGAAAAGTCACACATTGCAGAAATAGCTGTAGAGAAGGAAGTGAAATTTCTTCACAAGCTCACAGATGATGGTGATGTGGGTTAAGCCAGGCTTTAGAAAGAGCAAAATTGGAAGAGCTTATCTGACTTACAAATCAGTGACAAAGAATGAGAACATTTCAGGTCTATCAGAGAGGAATGCGATTCTATTAAATTGGTTACTTTTTCCAGGTAGACAATCCCAAACTCCCACCTCTGCCTCTAATACGTCTGAGACTCTAAGAAATATGTTAGCAATCTTACACGTGCTTACTGCCTCCAGAGAAACCAGACTTCATGTTTGACTTCATCTAATAGCAGCTGACTGATTACTAAGACCTACAATATGGTCTTAGGGATGACGAGGATATGACAATGCGGTGCTGTCCTTAGTGCTTCGGGGGTTCTTGTTCCCCGATATTAATGTGATACCTTCCCTTCCCCCTCTCCCACCAGAAAATCAGTAGCTGGGTAAGAACCTTTACTCTCCCGTCATTCTATTGAGAGCCTGAGGAAAGGAGTGATCCTGTTAGACAAAGGATATCAAGAAAGGACAAGGTCCTACCAATAAGATGTCCTGGCCAGAGGGAGGACTAGCTGATTCAGAACAGAGTCATGAAAGATACAGGGATATTCTGGTGCCAAACAGCTAAGAGAAGGCTGACTGCATGTATAATGGGAAGCCCAGTATTTCTGATTCATTGAACACGGGAAAGGGGGATTTAAAAAAAAAAAACTTTCTGCATTTATACTTAATGGGACTCCTTAGGTAGAAGCTGGAATTTGTCTTTAGGACGTCTGTCTCTTTGCTATGGTGGGAAACAAATTTCATGAGCACTTTTTGCTTCACAGAGGGAAGCAAGTCCCTGGTCCTTGTTATGGGGCTTGCCCCGAACTCTGTGAATGACCAAACAAGCAGAGCTTCAGGCTAAGGTGTTAAGTGGTTTGTTTAATGATGTAAAGTTATCTTCAAGTTGGGGGCAAGGCATGCTGCAGCATATAATATACAATGTAGATGAATGTTTTGTTTGCTCTGGCTGACTAGGGGAGTGGGAAGGAGGAGACCAAGACTGGGACTGCCATGTTGAAATTGAGAAGACAGGGAGATGGGTGGTAGGTATGGAAACATGGTGCCAGCCCAGGGGTCAAGGAGTGGTGGGCCCTGGGACTCCCTCTTTGGAGGAATAACCTTGCGTCCCGGGACAGTGACAGCTGATATGCATCACCTTTCCTAGATGAATGGTTCCTTTCCCTCTCCGCAATTCCCTTGTGAATGTCTGATAAACAGAAGATGTCAGTGCGGCAAATCTTGGGGATGTGGGGATGAGGAGGAGTCTGTACCCTGGTTTTCATGAGAAATTCAACAGGCAATAACTGTGTTAGTGGACCCAGGAAGACATCTTGTTGAGAAATAACAAGTAGCAACAATCCAGCTGGGATGGTATTATCGGACATAGAGTAGCAATGAACTTTCCTTTGGGACTACTGCACCACAGGAGGCTTTATCTCTGCCATGCAGGGGTCAGCTTGGGATGCTGCTGGTAGACCAAGGAGAAATCAGGGTGAGTGAAGGCAAAAAGGGTGAAGCATTATTTTCCTCCATCTGTATTTCTGGGGCTCCCCAGTAGTCATGATGAGACTTGATCAGTTATAACAGAGCAGTTAACTCTGAGAAGACTCATGACCTGGAATCCCATGGCACATCAAGGGGGCCCAACCGTAGGAGGGATCACTGGCTCTGTAGGAAACCACTGGTCTCTGGGCCACTTGCCAAGCAGGCAGCACACGCCGTTCAGATGCCAACACAATGAGCCACAACTGGCTCAAGTATTTCAGGGCCTGAGCACTCATAGAAGGTCCCTGCTCGGAAGTGATCAGTAGAGCAAGGACCTGGCCACACGGCAGTATTGGGCCAGGTGGGGTCAGCAGAGTCTGAAGGACAGCACCAGACACTCACCTCCTTTTGATGGTGAGCATGACGCCCAGGAGAATGATGATGAACATGAGGAGGCCAGCAATCACACCGGCCATCTTCACGGTATTGTCCACCTGCTTCTCCGGCTCCACAGTGTTAGAATTCTGAGTGGAGGCACCTTCGAGGGGAAAGAAGAAGAGAGATGTTGAAAAGGCTCATACACATGACTAGAAAACAATTATAATGAAACCAGCTTCCATTTATTGAGTGCTGACTATGTGCCAGGTACTGTGCTAAGAGTATTACACACAGTGTCCCATCTAATCTTTTTGAGGATTAGTCCCTTGTGATGTTGGGATTATTATACCTTTTTTTTTTCAGATGAAGAAACTGAGGTGCAGAGAAATGAAATGAGTGGTCCAAGGTTGCCGAACTGCTGGGCTGGGGCATTCTTATCCTCCAGTGAAATCAAGTGGAAGGTTTTATCTCCCACACTGATTTGCCCCTAGGATCAAACCATGGATCTATAGTTCCATTTTTGAGTTCATGGAATTATCCCAAGCCCTACTTTATTCTTTTTGGTAAGTGGTGAAAACAACAGCTTTGTGTTAAGGTAACATGATTATAATCACTGGATTTTAAAAGGTACACACATAAAGATTTTGTTTTGTGCCTTATATGAAAGAAATGGTATGGCAGAAATGTAGTTCATTGAAGGAACTGCCTGGGGTTTGGAAAACACACGCGACTAACTCCATTTCTGGAATTTAATGCTGATGCTACGTACTCTGCCAGGTACTAACTTACTGATTCAACTCCAGGTAGCCAAAAAATGCCTCCGCCTGGCCTCTTCAGGCAATGGACCAGGGGTCAGAGGCCACTTCTCATTCCAGACACCTAGATGAACACTCCTGGAGAGTGGCCCAGGGGTTACCAGCACCCTGAGTGAATTCCTTCCTGCTGCTGTTCATATTCCCAATGGTGCCATGTTTGTGTGGGGCAGCCTAAATCCACAGAATCCTCTCCCTGACACATCTCTACTTTTCTGCCTCCTGAACACCAGCTCATCTTTCATCACTGACTGCATCTCCTCTGGTGGCCTGTACCCCTGGGAGAGTTCCTCTTTCTTCACTAAATTCTAACCCCCTGTAACATTTGGCACACACCTAAATATACAGATATTATTAGTTATTTGTTTCTCCATCTGTCTCCTCCAGTGGTCTGCAAGCTCCTTGGGTGGGGGGAGATTATACCTCCTTTATCTTCGTTTCCTCATGGTAGCACTGAGCCTGGCTTGTAATAGGTATTCCCTTAATGTTTGTGATTGTTCAACATTTAGCTGAAGGGGTGACACCTATGCTCACACACTTTTGTTCTCATGGCACCAAATTGAATTTCTCCACTTTCAGCCATGTGTTCACAGAACTCAGCTGAATTGAAGGGATGCTAATGCCCAAAAGCTATGATTCTGATTCCCCAAACTCACTGATGTTTAAGAACAGCCCTCCAGCACAAGGATGCATCCCTTCTTCTTATTGTGTCAAATGTTTTTCTGGAGCACAGCACATTCCCCAAACTGTCTTGTAACTGGGACAAGCTGGGTTTACTTAGTCTAGTCTCCCCAGTGGGAATGGCCAGTCTCCAAGAACAGGGAGTGCGTGTTCTCATCTCTCTAATGTCAGTGTCTCTCATACAGGCCGTCCTTCTCCTCCTCCTGTTGATTTAACAGATGATTACTGAATGATACAAAGATGAGTGGACTGCAATTGTTCACTTCACTCATTTATTCACTTACTACTGAGCACCCATATGTCAAATGATGCTATCTATGGGATGGGATGAGAGACCCTTCTCCCGGATGGACTCATGAATATGGGATTTTATTCAGTTCCCTTCACCAGCTAAAGGAAAGATCATCAAATCCCAGGGCTGCCTGAGAGCAAGCTCTGCTCATCTACGGACCAGAGAGTTCATAGGGGGAGTTAGCCAACCACCTCTTTGGCAGGGCTGGTCTCATATCCTGGAATGGGGGCAGGTTCCTAGGAGCCCCCACATAGCCTCCATTTCCCAGTTTGGAGCCATGATTTCTGAGATATGGCTAGTCCACTGCGTACCAAACATCAAGGAAACTGAACACCCCAGATAACAATTTCCTCAATTGTGTCAGAATCTTTCTATTTGGATTTGGAGGAAGGAAATTGGCTCGGGAGCATTCACTGGCAAAGCTAAACTTTATTTAGTGCCTGCTCTGAGATTCTATTCTAGAGACCCGTGGTACAAGAGCAAAGGAGCCCTGGAGAGGATCCTATTACCTTAGGAACACTGTTGCTGGCTTGGCTTAAAGAGATTCACACTTCATTCCTTTGGTAAATAATCACAAGCACTCACTATATGCCAGGCATTCAGTGATACAGTGGTGAGCAAAACAGGCACAGTTCCTGCCCTCAAAGAACCTACCATGAGTGCTGGTGGTGGTGGGGCTCGGGAGATAGAATTAATGAACCATGAATTGATAACAGTAAGCTTTCAAATCTGTTAATGATGAGACAAGAGAGGCATGTGGCACTTGGAAAGCACATAAGAGGGGAATGAAATCACTAGTGGGAAGATGTGGCCAATGGGGTGAGCTCCAAGGGATGATGGACTATGACCAGGTAGAGAACACTACACGAGCCTGTGGGAGCAGCAGAAGGAACAGCACTGGCTGAGGCTGTGTGATGGGCTAAGGAACCTGGAGCACTCAAGAAATGAAAGAAACATAGTGTAACGAGGGTGAGAAAGCAGAGTGAGCATGTTAAGAGAGAAGCTGGAGAGCGCAGCTGGGGCCTGTCCACACAGGGCATCAGAGGCCACAATGAGAGCTTCTGTTCTTTACCCCGAGAAACCCAGACAGCCATTTAAGTGTTGTTCATGGAGCAATAATATGCTCAGATTTGCTTTTCTAACAGATCATTCCAGCTTCAGCATAGAGCCAAAGTGGCTTGGAGACACGAATTTGGAAACCATGGTAGGCGTCCAGGTGGGAGATGATAGTTGTGTGGACTTAGGTGATGGCAGTGGAGATAGAAAAAAAGAGATAATTACTTGAAATGCATATAAATAAAATCTGTTGATGGGATGGATGCAGAGAGTGAGGGAGAAAGATGTCAAGGATGCCCACAAGTCTTTGGTTTCCTTTTTTTTTTTTTTAAAGATTTGAGAAAGAGAGAGAGACTGTGTGTGTGTGTGTGTGTGTGCGTGCATACACACACACACACACACACACACACACACTCGCAAGTGCATGTGTAGGGGAAAGGCAGAGGGGGAGGGAGGGGGAGTCCTCAGCAGACTCCCTGCTGGTCACGGAACCCAACACGGAGCTCAATCTCATGACCCTGAGATCACAACCTGAGATGGAACCAAGAGTTGGACGCTTAACCAACTATGCCACCCATGTGCCCCAAGTCTTTGGTTTTCATAACAAGGTGGATGATGGTTCTGTTTATGGGTTCAAGAAACAATAGAATGAGTATAGCTATAGAGAGAAAATGGATGTTTTGGGGGCAATCTGAACTAGAGATATACTCTAGAAAAGGAGGCAGTTAAAAATGCAGGTCTGGAACTCTGGAAAGAGGTCTGAGCTGGAGGTAAAACTGTGATTTATGCACACAGACTGTATCTGAAGCCCAAAGTTGATGGAGTCACTCAGAGAAAAAAAAATGAAAGGAGAATCGAGCTTAGAGACAGAGCAGCACTTAATGAGTGGGTAGAGGAAGATGTGCCTGCACAGGAGGCAGAGCAGGAGTGGCCAAATGGGTAAGAAAACAACCCAGGAGAATCAAGTGCCCTAGAGCGAAGAGAAGAGTGTTTTCGAGAAGGAAGGAATAATGGACCATGTCAAACACTGCTCCTAGGATGGAATCAAGCTCCATACTCAAGGGAAAGCGAAGGTCTTGGATGAGTATTAGAAACCCTTCTCCAAATAAGTCCCAAGATGTCCCTAGACTGAAGTGCCTTCAGTGGTGACCATGAACCAACAATGGAACACACCTGATCCAGGGAGGCTATCTGAAAGGCCAGAACCCAGTGGTGTAGACAAATTCAATGAGTTCAGCCAACAGGCATCAGAGGTGAAATCACATACTCTGTACAGGGAAGTTATGAGAAGGAATCATGCTTGGCTGACCCAACCAGACTCCAGGTACAGGGACATGAACATGCCCCAGGACATCGCCAACCCAACATCCAACACAGCACCGTTTCAAGGGCATTAGCTGTGGCCACTGTGGAATTGTGCCTCAGTTCAAAAAGGAAGTATGCCAACAGTGTTGAAAGGTGGTACAGGTATAGAGGAAATGACTCTGGGACTGAAGACAGACAGCATTCCTGTGTGGCTCCTCCATCTGAGAGGAAGAAGAAAGGGACAGAGACCAAGCATGGGTTAGCCCTGCTCCTGATTCAGAGTCAGAAGCATGCCCATGAGGCTTAGATCTAAGTGGTCAACAGAGCAGATGAGACCCTGAGATAGGACATACAGGGAAGCACATAAGGGTTGCCTTATGATGGGGCCTGCTAGCAATGTGATGGGCTGTTTCAAGTAAGCACTGATCAAACAGAAGCTCAGTTACTACAACTTTTAAAAAATTCAGCTTAAATGGACTGATCCATTGCTGGGCGCCAAGTAATGTGCCAAATACTTTTCATATATGAGGTCATTTAATCTTCACAAAACTCAGAAGATGCTAGTTTTGTTTTCCCTTTTATATAGATAAGAAAACTTCACAGAAGGGTTAAATGACTTGTCCAAAGCCATATAACTGGTGAGTTCCAGAGGTGGACTCTGTACAGGGCTCACCCTCTTATCACTATAATGAACTGTCCTTGATAGAGTTGTAGTTAAGGAAATGCCAGAACTGGGTCCACAAAGAATGTTGGCCATGCAACTCACTGGCCAGAAATCCAAGGGAAGTTTTCAGAGGTAGAACTGGTAGCCCTTCAGCAACATGATAGCTGTGTTGCTTTTGCTCTAAGCCCACCCTTTTCATGACAGTCAAAGTTAGTACCATACCAGTCCCCAGTCCCTAAAAAGTCCTGTTTCTGGCCTTAGGCAACTTCTATATACTAAGCAGGGATTGGGATGGGAGTCTGCCAAGAGAAGGGGAGGGACATGGATGTATCCTCTTCATTTCTGCCCTC